TTAATCGACAGTTTCACCTTTGATAGTTCTCACTTATCTTGCAAAAAAGGTGACTGCAGCTGACCTGTTGAACAACTTATGTATATTCAGGAGTTGRTTTTGTTGAGATATTCAATCAGTTCACAGGTGAAGACATATGAAGTTAACACACAGTGCATTAGATGTTTCATATGAAGACATAGGAATACACACAGACATATGAACACATCAGAAATCACACAGCCTTAGATGTCGTGAATCATAAGTGTTCATGTCTATTCAAGTCACTAGATGTTCATATGAATCCATATACACACACACATGTGAAGACATGTGAGCATGTATGAAAACACACAACCCTAKATGTCTTGGTTCATACGTGTTCATGTACATACAACAGAGTTGGCTCCTGAATATACTGAAGATGTTCATACAGTTCACATGTTGTTCATATATATATATATATATATATATATATATATATATAAATAATGAGACAATGTAACAAAGATTAGAAGATTAAAGAATTTGATAAAATAAGTCTATACATACAATGTATTATGTATGTATCTCACTTGTCTTAACAAAATTAAATACAYACACATGGCCTTTTACTTGGCTTGGACCCACTTCAAAATCCACAAAACCCGCTTCTTACMTGAAACTAAAACCAAAACTTAGGTTTTACGATTACTATTCAAACCATGGTTGTACTTGTATGTAAAAGAATTTAATATATATACTATATTATAAAACATTTGGTTAAACTCTTAAAAACTTTTAAAACTCTTAAAAACTTTTAAAACTCTTAAAAACTCTTAAGCTGTGATAACCAGATCCTAGTTATTACCCAAGGTATTTAATATGTGATTATTTGACTATTTGGTTACGTGATAAGCATGATAAACTAATATGTTTAATACATGCTAATATGTAAGTTTGTGCATTTGTTTGGATAAAGGTATATATATGTATGTATATTTATGTATGCATAAATATGGATGTATAAAAATATATATATATATATATATATATTTATGCATGCAAGTTTAAATGCATATGTGTATGCATGAATGCATGTGGGTTTTACATGCATGAGGTGGAAGAGATGTGGAAGGCGGTTCTAGGYTGACTTTCCATTTTGGGAAAGTATAAAAAGAGGTTTTAACCTCTTCATTTGATTCCTGCCATTTTGAGAATTTGAGAGAGAGTTTTAAAAAGGAAGTGTTGTCCGGTTTATTTCAAGAGGAGATTTCAAGTGTTGGATTTCAAAAGAAGTTGATTTCAAGAGTTTTGTGATTAAAAGCTTTTAAGGTGAGTGGTTTCTAAATCTTTTTACTACTGATTTTTATGTTTCGTATTCTTATCATTTGAAATGAAACTTTGATTATTTTGTCTAAGTGTTTATCCGGACGAAGCTTGATCGGATAAACATTTAAACCGGACAAAGCTTGATCGGATAAGGGTATAAATCGGACAAGCTTTAGGCGGTTTAGTGTCCGGATTGTCTTAAACCGGACATGCCTTGAAAGGTTTAGTGACCGGATAGTTTTAAACCGGGTAAGTCTTGAGCAGACTATTGACCGGAGTTGGTTAAACCGGTTGATTGGTGAGCGGTTTAGTCTTAAACCGGGYRAGTCTTGAACGGATTGTTGACCGGATTTGATATCCGCTCAATATGGATTTTTGTTCTAAGTGTTAAACCGTTCAAAGAGTTTTGGTGAGTTGACTGGATTAGATGTCCGGACAAAGTAGACTTTTAGTCTAAGTGTTGTAAACCGGATAGTAATTGACCGGATTAGTTGACCGGACTTGTAAACCGGGTGGTTATTGACCGGACTTGTTTTCCGGATATCTTTATGTTGAAAATTTTATAAGTGTTTAAATATTTATTTATTTATTTATGATTCATAAAAATGGTTATTTTATATCTTTGAAAATAAATGAAATATTCCTACCAAGCGTGGTGACGTAAGTCTGTTTTGGTATGGAATAAATTTTTGATAAAAGTTCCTACCAAGCGTGGTGACGTAAGTCTGTTTTGGTATTGGAACGAGATTTTGGAAAAATGTTCCTACCAAGCGTGGTGACGTAAGTCTGTTTTGGTATTGGAACGAGATTTTGGGAAATGTTTCTACCAAGCGTGGTGACATAAGTCTGTTTTGGTACGAAACTATATTTTGAAACCTT